ACAGTTTACTAGAGAAGAAAATGTGTGGATAAACACGGGTTAGAAGACTAGCCTGCATTTTAAAAGAAGCCTTTGTACTGCTAAAATTATCTCTCAGGCTACATCTATACTGCACCCTTCTTCTGCAAAAACGTATGCAAATGAAGTGCAGATTAGCATATGGTTACACTTAATTTGCATAATTAATTAGGGGCCGCTTTTGCGTTTACTAGAGAAGAAAATGTGTGGATAAACACGGGTTAGAAGACTAGCCTGCATTTTAAAAGAAGCCTTTGTACTGCTAAAATTATCTCTCAGGCTACATCTATACTGCACCCTTCTTCTGCAAAAACGTATGCAAATGAAGTGCAGATTAGCATATGGTTACACTTAATTTGCATAATTAATTAGGGGCCGCTTTTGCGCAAGAGGCTTTTGTGCAAAAAGAAGCTGTGTAAATGGGTCCTTTTTGCACAAAAACCCCCTCTTGGGCAAGAGTCGTTCTTCCTGAAAAAAGGAAGAACGGCTCTTGCGCAAGAGAGGGTTTTTGTGCAAAAAGGAGCCATTGACATAGCTCCTTTTTGTGCAAAAGCGGCCCCTAATTAATTATGCAAATGAAGTGCAGCAATATGCTAATCCATGCTTCATTTGCATAAGATTTAGCGGAAGAAGGGTGCAGTATATACATAGCCTCAATGTCGATATGGAGAGCCACTTTGTTGCCAAGAGTATACATTATGTTGCATTTGTTTTAATATGCTGAAAAGACACTTAATTGTTAAGGCCAGCTCTTCAATCAATGAAATATGTTAATCTATCCAATTGAAGATCTGGCCCTTAATGGGAAATAGAAAAATATTTGGAAGCCATTGAGAAGTGACAGAAACTTATGTTCAGAAATTTTGATTAAGAGCAAATGCTGTACTTTTGTAATTTTGTATGTGTAATTTTGATTAAGAGCAAAGATGAAGCCAAAGCTAGCGGGCAGGTCACTAGCAGGTGCAGAAAACCTTTGTTGTGTGTTAATTATTAAGGTTCCAATCCTGCAAGGTGCTAAGGGATTGTCCTCTGCTTCAAATTGAGTGGGATTTGAGGGCACTCAGTATGTTTCAAGAGGCCCTCAGCACCTTCCAAGAAGTAGCCCTACATACCATAATATAGTACATCTGTTTTATTGGACCAACTTCTGGTAGTGGAAGGGACAAGCTTTCAGGCATCACACACTTAAAATGTGGCAATGCTACAGGAACATGGGTGGGGAAGCTACAACAGCTCATTCTTTGTAGCAACAATGACTGGCTCTCCAAAATGTTAAGTACTTTTGCTAGACATTTTTCTTTGTCTTCCATTTTTTCCATTTCTAATCAGTGATTAAAACTGATCAGTCACTTTGTTTGGAAAGTTTGATTAATTTGAAATTTAGACTTTCTATGGCAAGACTTGTACATGTACATTTGCATAGTTGTACTGACACCAGCTAAAGATCTGCCTCTCACTCTATTTTTGTCTGTTAGAATTTCACTTTCTGTTAAAGATTCTATTTATTGTTTTTTTTTACTGACCGTACTACTTTTAAATCAACAGGTTTTGCCTTAAAAGTTTAAATGATCCTCTTTAGAAGCTATTGGTTATCAAATGACTGTGTGATTGCTTTTTGTATAGGTCTGTTGTTGTTTGTTTGAGCAAAGTAATTGATCTGATTTAGAGATCACAAAATAAATATTCAGTACATGGAGAAGTGACTATTCTTCAATATTGCCTTAACATTGAATTCTTCATACAGATGAAGATTAGGAGAGCTGCTGATACTTGTATGTGACACGGTTAAGATTCAATTCACTGCTGCCTTGCACTTTGTGTTGCCATTTGTACCAGTGCAACATGAGAGCAAAATGCTTCCACTCGGGATTCATAGGTGAAGGCTACAGAACACTAAACCTAATTCCATAGTTACAGATAAAACTGTATTGCAGTGTGTGATGAAGTGGGGGAGGAGGGTGCTGTCCATTCGGGCATTCACTGGTCACTATGCTTGGGCTGTGGGTGACCCCTACTGGCCTGTGTCTGTAAGCACTGCCCAGCAGGGGGTCACCCTGAGGACCCTCAGGTCACTGTAGTCCATGGCCCAACCGGTTCTTACCTGTCGAGGGAAGGGGTCTGAACAAAGGAAGGATGTGGCTTGGAGAAGGAACAAACAACAGGACTATGTAGCACTTTAAAGACTAACAAGATGGTTTATTAGATGATGAGCATTCGTGGGCCAGACCCACTTCCTCAGATCAAATAGTGGAAGAAAATTGTCACAACCATATATACCAGACTAACACAGCTACATTTCTATCACTACTCTACATGCTTGGAGAAGGGGCAGTCTTGGCTGGGAAAACATGAAGAGAAGAAACTAAGCTGAGTACTGAGAGTTCAGGGGCCTGTGGACCCCTACCCCAAGGGGTATAAGGCTGCCTGGCCCCGATTCCTGTAACCACATCACGTCTGTGCTGTGCTGTATCCTGGAGAAGCAATAAACCCTCTCTATTCTACTGGCTGGTGGAGTCTCATCTTGCTGCAGATGAGGATGCAAGATCAGGGGGCTCCCCGACGAGCCGTCACACGGTGTTGTAGCCATCATGGTCCCCGGATATTAGAGAGACAAGGTAGGTGAGATATCTTTTATTGGACCAGCTTCTGCTGGTGAGAGACACACACGCTTTTGAACTATGCTGAGCTCTTCCAATGCTTGCTTCTCTCATCCAAGGGAGTCAGCCCAGTAAAAGATATGACTTCACCCACCTTGTCACTTTAAGACCATCCCATAGGTCAGCAGTTCTCAAACTGTGGGTCGGGATCCCAAAGTGGGTTGCGACCCCATTTTAATGGAGTCACCAGGGCTGGTGTGAGCCTGAGGGCTTAAGCTGTCAGTGGCAGAGCTCAGGTTACCTCCCCTCCCCCGCCTGGGGATGAAGCCCTGGGGCTTGGGCTTTGGCCTTCCTGCTCAAAACACTGGGGCTCAGGCTTGGACTTTGGGCACCTTCCCCATGAGGGACATCGGGGCTTGGGCAGGCTCAGGCTTTGGTCCCCACGCCTGGGGTCATATTTTTTTGTCAGGAGGGGGTCATGGTGCAGTGAAGTTTAGGAATCTGCCACAGGCATATTGTAGTAGCATGCACTTTCTGTGGGCACTAGATGGGGCAGGGAACCGTTTCTGAACTGGGGGCAACTGGCCTACAGAAAAATCGGTCGGGGACACATGCATGTGAGGACCAAAAACAAACAAAAAACAACAACCAAAACCACACCCTCACTGACCTGGCCTCCAAGGGTGTAAGGGGAAAAAACCTTCACAGATGTGGCCCCCAGTTGAGAAGCAGGAAAAAAAGACACTTCCTTTAGGCTCTAGTCTCATGAGGGGAGAGAGGAAGGTGCTGAGTGTCAGTCAGGGCTTACCCCCAGGGTAGGATTAACCTTTTGTGGGTATGGGGCTAGTACATTTTGTGGGATCTCCTAGGCTATAGGGTGTGGCCAAAATCGAGGTCTGTGTGTGAGAGGGGGTGCTAGGGCATGGCTGGTTTATAAGTGTGGGGAATGGATGGAAGGGTTGCATAAGAGGAAAGGTGCTTGGAGCACCTACCTGGCACAGTTCCTGGGAGGGACACAAGTGTCTTCACATGACTCTGCACTCTGCACAGAAGCACTCCCTACAGAAACTGCCCCCACCACTCTTGGCCAGGAATCCTGGCCAATGGGAGTAATGGGAGGTGCCTGCAGAGAGCGCTTCCCTGCAGAACACAGATGCTTCCTCTATCTCACCAGGCAGGCCAGATCAGGCTGTGACTTGTCTTAAAAGGAACCCCCCCCCTTACAAATATAGCCCCCAACTGAGAATCAGGAAAAAAAAAGACGTTCACTTCACTACTCTCAAGCTCCAGAGCTTAGGGGACTGGGGCTAGTAGATTTTGTGGGAATCTGGGATGGTGCCAAAAATGAGGGGTTCAGTGCATGAGAGGAGGCTGCTGGGGAACAGGCTGGGGATGTGGAGTCTGGGCGGGAGGTAATGTGCAGGTGTGAGCTTGGGGTACAGGGTCTGAGTGGGAGGTAGGGTGCAGGAGTGAGCTGGGTGTGTGGAGTCTGGAAGTAGGGGATGCAAGAGGAACCAGTTCAGGCAGAACTACAAACCAGCCGAAAAACCACTGCTAGTTATGCCAAGATCACATAGGGCATGGTGGAGAAAGGATGTGCCAGGGATGCCCAGCAGTGCCACATGAAAATAAAGGGACTGAGGCAGTTGTACCAGAAGACAAAGGAGGCAAACAGACAGTCTGGATCATCACTGCAAGTTTGCAGCTTTTATGAGCAGCTGCATGTGATTGGTGAGGGGGAAAAAGGGGAGAGGCGGGGGAACCCAAGCAGCTTCCCTACCCAGTCCGTGAATTCCTCCCAAGAGACTCATCAGGCAGCCTCTGGCAGCAGCGTGGAGGACAGCATGGAGGAGGAGGAGGAGAATGGTCAGCAGATGAGTGGAACATCTGACCTCACTGACAGCCAGAACCTTTTTCTAATTTTGGAGCCAATCTACCCCTCCCAGAACATCTAGCTGCCGGGCCCTGATGGCAGGGAGGGCACTTCTGGTGAGTTCATATATTTAATCATGCTACAAGTGTGTTAGGGCAATTGGGTGTGATCTGTGACGGCCACTCTGCCTACACACCAGGGGCTTCCCAGAAGAGTTTGTTAATGGGTCTGGAGACGGAACAGGAATCCTCCCTGCACATCTCCATATAGCTCTCCTAGAGGAACTCTTTCATCCTTCTCACAAGGTTTCTGGGGAGGGCTGTCTTATGCTGTCCTCAGCAGTTGGACACTTTTCCACGCCAAGCTAGCAGTAAGTGGTCTTATCAGTTCCCTAGCATGCTGTGTGATTTGGAGAAGACTGATATTGCTTGTGGCAATCTGGATGAAACGGGAAGCTATTAGCTCTATTTGTTCATCCCCAGTGAAGCACGGCTTGAGCCCTTGCCCTGCCACCACAGCCGGATTCCCCGCCTCCCTCCTACCTGCATGGTCCTGTGGAAAGGGAAAGTTGCACTTTCCCAGCACATGGAGGTGCCAAATACATGGTCACCGAGTGAGCCCCTGCCCTGTCCAGCCCTGCCTTGCTGCCATGGCCAGATCTCCTCTTCTCTGCAGGCTCAAGCCCTGGTCTGTCACTTACCATGCCTGCCACCAAACTGAATCCAGCTGTTCCCTAAGATCTGTAAGGTGTTTCTGCTGCATGGGGGCTACTTAAAAGCATAACATAAAAAGCCTCGTACATTACACACCCCTTTAGACAGTCCTTCCTTTTATGCTAAGAGATTAGGTTTTAAGCTCGACAGTTTATCTTCTATAAAGTCTGCTCTTCACTTTTTGTTACAGCGGGTGCAGCAGTGAGCTTGCCGCACACTCCCCGGGCTCTGACAGCAGCACGGCCAGCACAAATCTGAAGGCAAAAACATACTAGGAATGACATGTTCAAGGAGCAAATGCAATCTGCCAACATGGGCAGGGAGCGATTATGTGAGTGGAGGAATACACTGCTGCAGGAGATGTGAGCAGTGCATGAGGACAGGAGAAAGTGCAAGGAACTTGAAGTGAAGAACCAGGAGAGAGTCTTGACAGCCACAGTAGATGTGATAAGCCACATGGCTGCCTTCCAGGACAGCTACATGCACAGGCACCCTTTCCAACCTTTGCAGACCAACATTCCCTTCTCAGCTGAAGTGCTTCGCAGAACAGTATGTTTATGGCTTACCCTACCATGGTATCCACATGGATATTAAGGGGAAAAAAACTGTGAAAGACTGTTTGCTATTGCTTTTAAGCAGGGAGGGAGGGAGGGAGAAGACAAGTGTATTATGGGAAGCTGATGATGTGTACCCAGAACCACCGACTGCACGGTTTTGGTCCCATGGGGCACTAGCAGCATAGCCCAGAATGCAAAGGGGAGGCAGGAACTGTGGGTTAGCTACTCACAGTGCATCGCTCTCAAAGACGACAGTAGCCACCGTACTGGGGATGTGCTACTTCAAACTACATCACATTCTTGTGCACACTGGGGACATGCACCTTCAGCTTTTTAAACTTGTGTGCTAAAAATTGCCCTTAATACATTTGACCTTATCTTGTAGTGTAGACAAGGCCTCAGATTTGTGCAGCTCTTAAAAACATGAGACGTTTTCACTGTTGTTGGGGAAATTAGTGTCAAGCTAATGAATCACATATAAGAGCATACAGCACCTGCAGGAGAAGTTACGTGGCAGACATTTTTAACCAAGGGGAAAAAAAAGAAATCTGGATATTTCAGATGAATTGGATCTATGTGTCCAAATCAAACAGCGTGATATCCTGCCTTGCTCAAGGGTTTGAGTTCAAGGAAATCAGAAATCTAGCTGGCATCAGAATGTTGTGATGTGTCTGAAAAAACTGAGTGCAATGGACTATGAGTGCATGACATTATCTCCCCTGGAATCTGAGGGAGAAAAGAGAGCTATTGGCTATTAACTATTTTAAGAATTGTGACCTTTACTCAAAATACACATAATTTCTAGTGAATGGCGTTTATGCCCACATTATATATTGTTGGGTAGTTTATAGAGTCTGTTGCCACCTTGCAAATAGCCATTAAAATCAGTTTGGAAAATCTGCTGGGAAAAGTTGCCCTAAGGCTACCTGACTGATGTAAGTTTCTGAAGAATGTTATACTAATGATTTTAGAATTTCGTCAGCCCTTCATTAAAAATATCCCCAGTATCACCTGA